AGGCCGCGAGCCTGGCCGGGTGTCCGGTTTGCACTCGGTCCGGTACTTGCCCTCACCCTCCCTCTTGAAGGAGGCAGAAGACATGGCCTTAGGCTTGGGGGGCTGCAGCCACGAGTGGCTGAGGATCTCATCGATGTGTAGCCGCCGGTTGACGTCCGGCTGCAGGATTCGGTAGATGAGGTCCTTGCACTCGCCTGTCAGGTTCTTGGAGCGGGGGAAGTCCACGCGGTGCTCCTTCTGGATGCGCAGCATTTTCTTGATGTCGGAGTCGTCGTAGGGCATGGAGCCACAGACCATGATGTAGAGGATCACGCCCAGGCTCCAGATGTCGTACACCTTGGGCTGGTAGGGGATGCCCTGCAGCACCTCGGGGGCCGCGTATGCCGCCGACCCGCAGAAGGTCTTGCTGAGGATAATGCGGCCACTGCCGTCCCGCAGGCAGCGCTTGGAGAAGCCGAAGTCAGACAGCTTGATGTTGAAGTCCTTGTCGAGGAGGAGGTTCTCGCACTTGAGATCTCGGTGGACGACGTCCAGGTCGTGGCAGTACTTGACGGCAGAGGAGAGCTGGCGGAACATTTTACGAGCCACATCCTCATGCAACGCCCCCCGACACTTGATGAACTCAAGGAGGTCGCCCTGGACCCCGAGCTCCATGACAATGTAGATGCGCCCATCAGAGGTCTCAAAGATCTCGTAGGTCTTGATGATGGAGCGGTGGTTGACGGTTGCCAGGATGTCCATCTCCCGAGGAAGGAATCTCTCCACGAAGTCAGTGGGCGTCTTCTTGCGGTCAATGATCTTGACTGCCACGTTGAACTTGAGGCGCTCAGAGTAGGCAGATTTGACTTTTGCGTACGAGCCCTTGCCAAGATTGATGCCCACGATGTAACCCTTCTTCCTTAGGACCGCGGCATCGTCCATGGTGCCAGGAGCAGCTAGCGCCGCTGTGCTCTACATCCCCTCCCTATGTGGGCCAGTAGGCATTGTCCTCATTTACACTGTGTGGAGCCGTCTGGCTGGGCTGGGCCTGGACTTGGAGGGGTGGAACGCTCAGCATTGTCCCCGCGTGACTTCAGCATGTGAAGTCATAAAGCCAGCTTGTTGGGAGTAGGGACTGAGCTGGGGGAAATGGGGCCCCTGGAACCCTGGAAGCCAGGCTGGCCTGGCAGGAGGGCCCACTCCCCCCTGCCCACTGGAAGGAAGCCGGCACCCAGAACTGCAGTAACCCTCCCTGCTCCTCCTCCTCTGTGGCTTCCTTGTCATGAGTCAGGCCCAAGGGAGGGCCACCCAGGTCAAGCCAGAGTGCCGGCCCCATGCCCATTTCCTTCTGGCTGTGTGGACCCTGCATTGGTCCATGCCCCACTAGGGCCGATTTCCTGCAGCTTCTTTGGGGTGTGAAGAAAACCCTCTCTAGGACTTGTGTCCTTGGAATGGGTGGTGCCTGGGTGGAAGGGCGCTGGTCTGGCCAGCCTTGTGAATGAAGAGCAGCTCCTGTTCAGGGTAGAAGGCTGAGTGCCACTGTGGCACGCAGGGTGTGTGTGGGGTGGGAGGGCCGGCAGGGCCCTGGGCCCCAGACTGGCAGATGCGTGTTCCAAGGGCTGGGGCCTGCCTGGAGGATGGGCCAGGTCTCAGTCAGGTAGAGGAGGTGGTGAGGCATCCAGGCAGGGAAGAGCCTGGGAGAGGTGACGGCTTGTCCTGAGAATCGCTGAGTCTGACAGTCTGGAGGGAGGGTGGAGGAGAAGGGAGGTGGTGGGCAGTCATTTCAAGGCCTGGGGCCAGAAGTGTCATGACCCAAGTCACATTTTTTTTTTTAAAGATTTTATTTATTTGACAGAGACACAGCGAGAGAGGGAACACAAGCAGGGGGAGTAGGAGAGGGAGAAGCAGGCTTTCTATGGAGCAGGGAGCCCAATGCGGGGCTCGATCCCAGGACCCTGGGATCATGACCTGAGCCAAAGGCAGACGCTTAACGACTGAGCCACCCAGGTGCCCCCCCAAGTCACATTTTAAGATCGTCCCTGACAGAGTGCCTAGAGAATGGGCTTCGGGTGAGTGGAGGCCAGTACCCTTGACCAGATGAGAGGAGGCTGGCCCAGGGTGGGCCTGCAGGGACTGGGTGGCAGAGGGAGACAGAGGGTCTGGTGCACTGACCTCTGAGTGGGCAGGGCCTTGGCCAAAGCTTTGGTGCTGGGGGTCCTGGTAAGAGCAGGCTCGGGGATTGGGGGGGGTCCTGAATTATGTCACTCTGGACCTTTGGGAGGAGCAGGCATGTTGTGGCCTGGTGGACCCCTGGCATTTGCATCTCTCAAGCTGTCTTGCGCTGAAAGCAATGTGAAAACCCTTTTGTTTTTGCTTTGGGAACTGTGGCATCTTATTTGTGTCTCCTTGGGTACTTTGGAAGCCGTGCTGCTCATCTGTTCTCCATCACAGGCATCCTGTGCCCACATGTGGGCGTGCCATGTGCTCAGTGTTCAGGGGAGAGGGGGAGGAGGAGGCCTGCCTCTGTGTGGGTAGTCGGGAGGGTTGGTGATGGAGGAGCCAGAGTGCAGAGGATCCGTAGGGCCCTGCCGGGTTGGTGAGGGGTAGGACATGCCAGGCAGATGTGTGGACCCAGCTGGGGCACATGGGGAGCTCCCTGCATCTGGAGGTTCATGGGGAAGATCTCCGGGGTGGGGTGGCTAGAGTTCAGATGCCAAATAGGAGTAGACTACCCTCCAGCAGCCACGGCCTCCCTGAGGCCCGCTCCTGGCTCTTCAGAGCTTCCGTTGCAGTAGCTTTGGCTTGATGCCCGCTCTCTCCTGGGACGTCTCTGGAAGAAATGACCAGAACTTCACTCCTTTGCCTCCCAGAAGGGACTGGCTCTGAGGATTTGCAGGCCAGGACCCAGGAGCATGACAGTCTCCTCTGCCCTTCTCCTGCACTCCCGAATGTTCTATCTGGGGCGCCCCCTGCATGTCTGCCTTTTTGGCTGACTCTGCTGACCCACCCACTTTCCCCTTTTTTGTGGATTCCGCTTCCTCATACTCTGCCCTTGCCCGGAACAGTGTGGCCTCTTTGGTTCTCGGGGACGCGGTAGAGGAGGCACAAGCTGAGCTGCTGGGGCAGCGAGCAGGTGGCTTAACCCAGCATACGCACGCAGAGGCAGGCCCTCCTGGTGTGTCCCTGGTGGGAAGTGTTCCACTGGACCTGGGGCCTCCAGGGGGTACTCCCAGCCTGCAGCCCTGTGCGTGGGAGACCCACGGACTCTGGCAAAGCCACTTCTCTCTGAGTTTCGGTTTCCTCCATTTCTCTACTCATCTTATAGGCATTTGAGGGTTGGTTCCAGATGCTGGGGTTCACTGATGAACTAGACAGGACCCATGCCTTCCTGAAGCCCAGAGGACACAGGGAGCTCCCGTGTCACACCAGTGGTGGCTGCGCCATGACACAGGAATGCGGGGCGGTGAGGGAAAAACTGGACTGGGTTTGGGGATGCTGGGAGGGCTGAGGTCTGAGGAGTTAGCTACATGGAGGGGGACGAGGACCTGCTAGAGCTCATCATGGCTTGAAAGGACAGAGTGGTGGGAGTGTGCAGGGGTGGGACTGTGGAGGCCATGGTGAGGGTCTTGATCCTAAAGCCTTGGGGAAGGTCCCTGACGGGGTCTGAGTCAGGGCTGACCCTGGGAATGGCCCCAGAATGTGAGGCCATCTGGGGAAGAGTGGGCTTCAGTCACCTGGGCTGCCACTCTGTGCTGTGTGATCTCAGGCAGTTGCCCACCCTCTCTGAGCTGTCTCTCCACCTGTAAAGCACACAGAAGATGCTCCTTTGTGGGGCCCCTCCTGCCCAAGGCTTGCCTTCTGGCTAGGCTATAGTGAGTTGCTCCCAGGCCCCTCCTGCTGCATGTTGCCTGCTGTCCCCAATGACCACAAGCCACAGATGACCAAGGCGAGGAGGTTCACAAGCCTCTCCTCAGGATGTCCCCACTCCAGCCACCGGATGATCTGCAGGACGCTGGGTTCCTGGGGCCTCTGGGAAAACTGGGTGGCCCCTCCAGTATTACCCAGGGCCGATTCTGCACCTGGACCTCAGCACTCACAGGCCTGCCCCAGCAGAGCTTATAGTGATGGGCTGCCGAGCTCAGAAGGCTTTGTGGAGGCCATGGCCCCTTGGCTGATCCTGGAGACATGGGTAAGGTCTGCAGGGATGCATCTATGAGCATGATTATGGCACGTGTATGTGGGGGTGTGAGGATGAGGGAGGGGGCTGGGAGGCCAGGAGGAGGCCAGACCTGGGATGCCGAGGCCGTGCACTGGGATCCTTCCCGAAGGCAGCGGGATCTGGACTGTATGCAGGAGGGAGGTTCTGGCCACTGGGGGAATCATGGGGCAGGTAGAGGCCTTGAAGGTAGCTGCGCTGTGTGTTCACGACAGACTCCCAGGAGCACGGAGATAGGAAGACATAGAATGTGTGAAGATGGCTGTGGGTAGGGTGGGAGCCAAGCGGAGAGGTGGTGTGGATGTGTGGAGGGGTGCAAAGAGAGTAGGGCCGGGGCACTCACTGGACCTTGCTTCTCCCGGGGCCTGGAGTTGGAGTCTTTCTAAGACACCGACATAGGGTGGGGGGTAAGTCTGAAGGTGCTTGTCCTCTTGATGTGTCAAACCCGCAGATCCACATGAGGTTGTCCAGAGTGAGTGCAGAGCAGGAAGAGAAAGGGGCTGCCGTGGCTGAGGTGAGAAGGAACAGCCTGAGAATGACGTGGGTGGGCCACGCAGGGCAGGGCAGCCAGCGATGCTAAATGCAGGGCTGTGCCTTCTAAAGGACACTGATGGCTGCAGGGCACAGGCCTGCATAGTGAGCACACCTGTCCTCTCTCCTCGCCAATGTCTGCTTATCCACTCTGGCATGGAGCATCACCGCTGGGGACAGACTGGGACTAGAGGGGAAAGGGATGTGGTCGAGACCACACAGTGACTGTGGGGCACGTAGGCTGGGTGGGGCTGGGCCATCCAGCGGCCTCCCCCCCCGCCCCCGCCACCACCACTTCTCCTGGGCAGGGGGAATGACCACAAGCAGGATGACTCAGGGCGTGCCCAGAACTGAATGCTGGTTGGCCATGAGGGAGCCCTGGTGGACAGAATGAAAGAAATGAGTGGCCTCCCAGGGTGGGGAGCTCCAGAGGGGCTGAGAGGCTGGTCCACCTGCCCCCTGCAGGCCCCCTCCCCACCGGCAGCCTTGTGGAGGCAGTAGCGCCGGGACATTGAGGGCCCAGATCCTCAGCCCCAGCTGCAGGGGAGCCCCTGTGTGCCCCTGCCCTTCTTGGTCTTGTCCTCTCTGTGCCCCCTTGCCCTTCCCAGCACCGCACTCATGGCCTCCCTCTTGAAACAGCGTCTTCCTTGCTCAGCTCTCTGCTCTGGTCCGGGGCCTGAGGTCACAGTCAGGGCTGGGCACACGGGGATGTATTTTCCCAAACTGGAGGCGAAATGCGGTGCGATCCGAGAGTGGGGAGCCGGGGGGGGGGGTGCGGCAGGGAGTGCAGGGTCCTCTCCCTGGATGACCGCAGTCAGCTAGGGCAAAGACATTCACCTTAGGGTCTGCACTAATATAGTGATTTATTGCTTCTTTAGCCATGTGGGTTACCAAGTCCAAAGGGAGGGAGAAGAAACTGACGAAAATAGTGGCTCATCCGGGACCGTCTTCTTTGGCTTGCCCCTTGGTTTCTTTGGAGCTCAGGCTCAAAGCCATGAGCTCTGCTTCATTCTCTGCTGGCCCCCTGGGCCAAGAGGGGCTCGCTAGGTGTGTGTCTCTGAAGGCTGTGGGAGGACCTCTTCTGTCTCCCTGCCAGGCCTCTCTCCGTTAAGACCCGTGGTGTCCAACTGCCTTGACACCGGCACTTGCAACGTCTCTTCCTCGTTGGGTTTTGGCTGGGACTGTGTCTCGGGCTGTGCCTCCTCCTGGGGCTCCAGCTTGGTGGCAGACTTTTTGTCAGGGGTCTCAGGGGTCCATGAGGGCTCAGGGCCCCAGGAGGTCTCCCCCTCCTTGTTGATGGCCTCAGAGGACTGGCCCCGTGCCGTGGGCTGCACCCAGCAGTGGCTGAGGATCTCGTCGATGTGCAGCCGCCGGTTGACATCCGGCTGTAGCATGCGGTAGATGAGGTCCTTGCACTCGCCTGTCAGGTTCTTGGAGCGGGGGAAGTTGACGCGGTGCTCCTTCTGGATGCTCAGCATCTTCTTGATGTTGGAATCATCGTAGGGCATGGAGCCACAGACCATGATGTAGAGGATCACGCCCAGGCTCCAGATGTCGTACACCTTGGGCTGGTAGGGGATGCCCTGCAGCACCTCGGGGGCCGCGTATGCCGCCGACCCGCAGAAGGTCTTGCTGAGGATAATGCGGCCACTGCCGTCCCGCAGGCAGCGCTTGGAGAAGCCGAAGTCAGACAGCTTGATGTTGAAGTCCTTGTCGAGGAGGAGGTTCTCGCACTTGAGATCTCGGTGGACGACGTCCAGGTCGTGGCAGTACTTGATGGCCGAGGAGAGCTGGTGGAATTTCTTGCGAGCGTCATCCTCATGCAGGGCCCCCCGGGTTTTGATGAACTCGAGGAGGTCACCCTGGACCCCGAGCTCCATGACGATGTAGACCTTGCCGTCTGATGTCTCGAAGATCTCGTAGGTCTTGACAATGGAGCGGTGGTTTAGCATGGCCAGAATCTCAATTTCCCGGGGAAGGAATTTCTCCAAGAAGTCCATGGGGGCTTTCTTGCGGTCAATGATCTTGACCGCCACGTTGAACTTCAGGCGCTCAGAGTAAGCAGATTTGACTTTTGCGTACGAGCCCTCTCCCAAATTTATCCCCATGATGTAGCCTCGCCGCTTGAGGACAGCAGCGTCATCCATGGTGCCGGGAGCGCCCAGTGCCTCTGAGGCTGTCCTCTACATCCCTGTGGGACATGGGCCAGCAGCGTCCTCATTTACACTGTGGACAGAGAGTCCTCTGGGCTGGCCGGGCCTGCTGTCCCTGCCTCCTAGAGGCCAAGACTCTGGGGTGGAATGTTCAGCATTGTCCCCCAGGTGACTTCAGTGGGTGAAGTCATAAAGGAGGAGTGCCCTGGGGGAATGAGGCTCTGGCCTGAGCCACTTGGACTTGAGACCCTGAAAGGCCAGCCAGGGGGCTGGAGTGGACCAAAGGCCAGCGGAGAGTGGTCTTGTGCACTTGGCTGAGACCGAGGTGGGAGGGGGCTGTGGGGAACACATCGGTCTGCCGGTGCTTCCAAACAAGGAGCCAGGCCTCCTTGTGGGGTTGATTATTACAACATGGCATCCCAGGAAATCCATGGTGGATGGTCATATTAGTCCGAGTCCCGGCAGGAAACAAAAGACATACTCAAGTTAGGGCAGTCTGAGAAGAGTTTAATAAAGTCATCTTACTTACAAAGGTGGGAGTGGAGTGTAGGGTACCCCAAGGGTAGTAACAGACCCCTGGAAGAAGGGAAGGTTGGTCACTGGAAACTAGGAAGAGTGTAGAGGCAGTGACTCCACAGGGAGGGAGCTGGGGAAAAATAGCCCTGACCTCTTTTCTCTCCCTTCAGCCCTAGAGGTCCTTGGTGGTGTCCACACAGGCAGCCTGCAGGCTGTGCGGGAGGGCCAAAGGTAGAGGTGGATCAAGAGGGGCTGTGGGCGCCTGGGTGGCTCAGTTGGTTAAGCCACTGCCTTCGGCTCAGGTCATGATCCTGGAGTCCCGGGATCGAGTCCCGCATCGGGCTCCCTGCTCGGCAGGGAGTCTGCTTCTCCCTCTGACCCTCCTCCCTCTCATGCTGTCTGTCTCTCATTCTCTCTCTCGCAAATAAATAAATAAAATCTTAAAAAAAAAAAAAAAAGAGGGTCTGTGAGTTGTTGCCCCAGCGGTGACTGCAATTTCAGAAGCCAGGGCTTTGCCTTCTCCCTGCATGGTTTGGCTGGACTTTTCACCTCCCCTCCCTGTCCTATTCTCCCCATCCGAACCTTTGCTGGCCTGCTTCTCCGACAGTGGCTCTGCAGGGGGGACAACTGGCAGGGATATCTGCTCTTAGCTCTGAGTTCCCTCCGTGGGGTCTGCCCAGCCTGTAACCCTGGCTCGGCTCCCCGGGGAACACTGAAGGTTGGGCCTGGATTGCTCCAGTGCCGCAGCTGCTCCTGGGAATGCTCCATGAGGACAGTGCCAGTGGCCAGGGCAGTGTTGGACAGGGACCACTGTCTCTGCTGGCCGTGGGGCCCCTCTTCTGTGACAGGCCCTTTGTCTAGCACTTGCTACAGGCCATGCCCTGAGGGAGCAGGAGAGGGAGCAGGCACGTCTGGCCTAGCCTTGGCTTTTATCTTGGCCATCTCCACTCAGAGGGAGTGGGTACCTCTCTCAGGGACCCCAAGTATCATAGGCTGAATCCCTGGGACATTCAGGAGGATTATGCCTTCAAGGGACTTGGGAGGACTGCTCCTGGGGAGTAAGTTGGCGGGGCTGGAGGTGGGCCAGGCTAAAATGGGTCCCCTGTTCTCTGCTCCCATCTTCACCCTCTTCCCCAGCCCTGACACCCTGTGCCAGGCCTTGTGTGTGTGTGGCTGGTGGTCTTTCCATTGGATGGCTTGCTCCTCTCCTAGTGGGACGCTGCATCTGCTGTGTTTGCCTCCACAGTCACTCTGTTCCCTGACAGGTGTGAGGCCAGCACCGGGAGCATGGTGGAACCGAGGCTTTCCTCCCTGCAGATGCAGCCTGCTGTGGCAGCAGCTGTGCCCAACATTCCTTCCCCCCCCCTCCCCACACTGTGTAGGCAGGGCTCTTCCTTCAGAGGCCAGCTTTGCTCCACAGTCTAAGATCTGGGTTTCCCTGTCAGCTCCTCTCGTATGACACTCCTGTAGGCTATTGCCTCACCTGAAGCATTTTCAGGAGTGTGTGCTGGTGAAGCCACACCTGCCTGTTCCTTACAGGGTGGATCCTCCATTACCCCATCTTCCCACCTCCTCAAAGCTTGTCTGCGTTCCTCCCGTTTTCCTCATGCCTTCTCAGCAGCGGTTCTGCCTTTAGAGGACCACTTTAGGGAGCACTCTTGGGCCGCCGACCGGATTTGGGCCTGCAGGTATGCGAGGTGCGTCAACCCCTCCTAACCCCGGTCCACCTCGGCTCCCCGTCCCTCCCCTCTTCCTTCACGCTCCGCCCCCCTGGGCTGCTCCCCGCCCCTCCGCTCCCCACCCTCTTCGGTCCCACTGCGCCCCGCCCCTTTCTGTATCCGTCATCTTGGCCGGGTTACTCCTCCCCCGCCGCCCCTGCCCTGCGCGTCCTGCCCTGGGATCCCGGCCCTCAGTAGGCCCTACAGCCCAGGCTCCACCCCCAGGTCCCACCTCTCCGCTTAACCAATGGCACACTTAACTCCTTATAGTCCCGCCCGCCCGCCGGGCCCGCCTCTCAGTCCCCGCCCCCCCGCCGTCCCAGCCTCAGGCCTCGCCCCTTTCGGGTGCAACCGGCCAGGCTCCGCCCCCCGCCCGGCCAAGGGTCCACACGCATTGGGAGCGTGCAGGCCCCGCCCCCCGCCTCGGCACTCATTGGCCGGCGCCGGAGGCGTGGGCGGGGGGCGGTGCGGAGCCGAGCAGGACGGCCGCCATCTTGCGCGGAGCCGGAGTTGGAACCCGAGACCGAGGCCGAGAGTGCGCGCGAGCCTGCGGCCCACTTTAGCCGCGGCTTAGCCGGAGCCTTCTCCCGCCGCCCTTCCGCGCCCGGCCCCTAACCCTCAGTCCGGCCCGGTCCCCTGACCCTCAGCCCGGCCCGGTCCGGCCTCCCCGCGGGGTTACGCGGCCGCCCCGGGGACGATGAACGGAGGATAAATGGTGCCCAAGGCAGACAGCGGTGCCTTCTTGCTGCTCTTCCTGCTAGTGCTCACCGTCACCGAGCCGCTGCGGCCAGGTGCGCGGCGCGGTGGGCGCGGCGCGGTGGGGGCGGGGCAGGGCGGGCAGTGTGCGGGGCCGGGGTCGCCCGAGACGTCCCTCCACCGGGCGGGGCCGCTACCCGGGAGGGCGCCGGCGAGGCCTGCCCCCGGGCCGCCGCGCCCCGCCCCGGGCCGCCGCGCCCCCCCGTCCCCCGCTCGGGACCGTGCCCCACGCCCGGGACTGTGCCGAGAGTTTATCTGGGTTCAGAGCGCCTCGTACATCACGGAACTTTGTTCTCGAGGGATGTTATCTTTGGATCGGTGTCCGTGGAGCGCTGCGTGCTTTGAGATTGACGGAAGCGAGAGTGATGTGCGGGGCCCGACGTAACTTCTGGGGCCTGGGAGTTCTCTGGCCAGGGAGCTGCGCCCCTGGGGCGCGCCCACCTTGTCCAGCGGCTGGGGTCAGGCTGGAGTGCGGGGGTCGAGAGAGAGCAGCTCGTGGGGGCACCTGGTTTCCCATGTTTTCCCTCAGCAGTGGTTTGGTGCCAGCGTCTCAGCCCTGGAAGCTCCTCGGCTGGAAAGCGGTAGCCGTGTCGCTTATTGTCACTCAGTGAGGTGTTGCAGTTGAGAACTACTCAGCGCAGAGACCGGCCCACCGTGGTAGTAGGAGTCCGCCAAGTATCGCACGCAGGAAGCAAGCTTCCTGGGGCAGAGACTGGTGCTGTGGCCGGGTCTCCGCCGTTGGAGCCTGGGTATTGCCAGGCCCTTAGGAGTGTTCCTTGAATGTGATAATTAAGTGCTTTGGAGCTCCCCTCGGAACTTGTGTTTTTATAAGTAAGCTTGTGGTGGGGAATCAGGATCGTGGCAGCTGGAAGGTCCGGGGTAATTTTTATTTCTACCTGTTTCTTGTGTTCCTCCTCCTCCATTGTGGAAAAAACCCTGACCTTTTAGGTCAAAGAAAATGTTACTATATATTATATACATATAATATATAATGTTATAATATACACATACAGATTTATTGTCTTTATACCGATGCAGTTGAAAGTATGATTCTTGGGCGCCTGGGTGGCTCAGATGGTTAAGCGTCTGCCTTCGGCTCAGGTCATCATCCCAGGGTCCTGGGATCGAGTCCCGCATCGGGCTCTCTGCTCCTTGGGAGCCTGCTTCTCCCTCTGTCTCTCATGAATAAATAAATAAAAATCTTTAAAAAAAAAAAAAGTATGATTCTTAATACTATTTTTTTATGGAGGAAGGGGCCCATGAAAGCCGAAGTGTCCAGGGCTGTTGTCTGTGAGCTCTGTCGGGTCTCTCTGTGTAAAGGCAGGCTGGGGGGCACAGTGGTGTGCCACTCCAAATGCCTCAGCCAGGGCTCTCACCGCAGACCAGACACCTCTCTGCCTTTGTCATCCTTGTGGAGTGCTATCTCCTCCCCGGTGTTTACTTGGTGGCCAAGGCCCTGGGCCCATGCTCAACCTGGAGTCACTCCAGTGATGCTTCTCTGGACTCCCTTTGTACAGCTGGTTGCTCGCTTCTTCTGATGGTTCTCTGGGCAGCAGGGTGACTGTTTGTGGGGTGGCCTTAGTAGGAATGGAAGCCAGAAAAAGGCCTACCTTTGGAGGGAGTATTGAATGGGCTCTTGAGCCATGGAACCAATGGATTTATGGCTTCTTGTGATTAAATTCTTTAGAAAACATGTCTGTATCTGTAGAGAGGTGAGACATTCTGTTCTGGCTCTTGGGTCCTAGTTTTGCCTGTCCGTCCCTCAGGTGGACCTTGAGGGACCAGGCCACACATCATGCTTGTCTTCGTTGGGGTGCCTCTGGTTCCAGGTCCAGCATCTGCCTGGATGATAGAGGTGACTAATGTCCCCAGCTCCCTTTCCTTTGCTGTCTGTGTATCCTGCCAACTGGCCAGCAACAATTCAGAAAGAGTTTTCAACAAATAATGCAATATATGTTAAGAAAAAAAAAAAGAAGAAGGTAGCAGGAGGGGAAGAATGAAGCGGGGGAAATCGTAGGGGTGGACGAACCATGAGAGACGATGGACTCTGAAAAACAAACTGAGGGTTCTAGAGGGGAGGGGGGTGGGAGGATGGGTTAGCCTGGTGGTGGGTATTGAGGAGGGCACATTCTGCATGGAGCACTGGGTGTTATGCACAAACAATGAATCATGGAACACTTCATCTAGAACTAATGATGTAATGTATGGGGATTAACATAAGAATAAAAAAAAAACAGTGATGTAGAAAGCCACCCAGAAAAAAAAAAAAAAAAAGAGTTTTCAAGTGCTCACTGTCTGCCTACCACTAGGGATGCTCAAATGAACTGAATAAATCCCTTTCTCTAGGAGTGCCCTTTAAGTATGGAAGCAGAAGCTGGATGTAAATCAGGTCATCAAGTATGGGGGCTTAGAGGCAGGCAGCAGCGGTGGCCGGCCAGTCATTTGGACCCGTGAAGCAGGGGAGGGCTTCACAGGAGACCTCACATTTAGGTCTGAGTTGGGGCAGGGAGGTGGCTCTGGTTGAGGGAGCAAAGTTATCCTTTGCATTCCATGACTTTCCAGATCAGAACTTTGCAGTGACTCCTGGTGGTATGTTGAGTTGTTCTGCCCCCGGGGGGCTCCAGCTGGTACCCTGACTTTGGCTGAGCAGCAAGGGCAGGTCTCACTTGGAGTCATATGTTTTCCTTGGGTGCTTGTATGTGCTCTGTGTCCTTCCAGGCAGGGATCTGCTGGCTGGTGCTTGTGAAGGAGACCTTCCCTGGTCTTATTCACCTGCATTCTTTCTATGGGAGTCCCAGCTTAGACCTGTACTTGGGTGTGAGGAGGGCATCAGGCAGAACCTGCTTCCCAGGAGGGAGGGAGTCCTTGAGCACCGGGGCCAAGCCACCTTTGGCTCTTCTCTGGTGCAGCCAGGGTGTGAGACCTTTCACAGAGTGGGGGCAACAAGAGAGCTTTTGGCAAAGTTTCTTTTAAAGATTTTATTTATTTATTTGAGAGAGAGAGAATGAGAGGGAGGAGGGTCAGAGGGAGAAGCAGACTCCCCGCCGAGCAGGGAGCCCGATGCGGGACTCGATCCAGGGACTCCAGGATCATGACCTGAGCCGAAGGCGGTTGCTTAACCAACTGAGCCACCCAGGCGCCCCTGGCAAAGTTTCTTTTAAATGCATGTTTGATCTTGGTTGATTGAGGACGTGTTACATGCCAGGTGCTGTTCTAATATGTACTGACATGTGCGTTGCTTAACTCTCAGGTGGTCCCTGTGAGGTAGATGACTGCTTTTAGCCCCATTTTACAGATAGGGAAACAACCACAGAGAACTCACGAAACTAAGTGGCTGAGATGAGATTTCAGCCCCAGATGTCTGGCCTGTGTTCCCATCATGTGCCCTTGGCTGTGCTCGCTTCGGCAGCACATATACTAAAATGTGCCCTTGGCTGAGGCTCTGTCTGCCCCAGCTGTGTATGTCCTGTCTTGGCCATCCTTAACCCCCAGCTGTGGAACTCCGGGACACATCTCTTCCCATGATAGACCCAGTGGTTCTCCAGGTGAGGGTGCAGACCCTTTTTCATCTAAACACTCTGATCTGAGGGTTAGAACCAGCCGTGCCCTCAAATCCCTTTTGTGGTTAGCCATAAGGACCAGTGGTGGTGGGTGTTACATCTCCCTCCTGGGGCTGTGGTGAGAAGGGTAGGTTGGAGACCTCTGCTGAGGGGCAACAAGCATGGAGGGGCTTCTGGGGAGCCAGTGACCGTGGTATCATCTCATTGTCCCTTTCTCCATGTGTGCAGGTAATGCAGTAGCAGTTGCTGATTCTGAAAGTGTTTTTCTAGCTTCAATTATGATAGAAAATCATGCCATGGTGTTAGCCACAGCTCAGTCTAGGGTGACCCCCACCATACATAGCTGAGAAGACATTTGCCTTCTCCAAGTGAGCTCTGTCCCAGCCCTGTAAAAAGGCTTGTGTTCAGTGAGGCTGCCTGATGAGGTGGTGGGACTGGAAGCTGTCTTTGTACTGTTGGGAAAGCTGGCTGGGAGAGGCAAATGACTTGCATAAGGTCGCACAGCTGGTGAGCAGCATAGCTGGGATTCAAACCCAGGTGAGTTGGTTCCGAGTTAAGGGTTCTTTCCCCTTCGTCATTAGGGATCCGGAGGGGCCTGCTGTCAGTGCCGAACTGGTAAATGTTCAGTGAACGAACTAGTGGCTGCCGCACCTTGCTTCTGGAGCAGCAGTTGAGTTCGTGAATAGGAAGAGTGTGGCTGCTTTACAAGCAGACGTGTCTGAAGCTCATGGGAGTAGCTGGGAAGTTGAACCTGCACCTGGGCTTGCCAGCCGCTTTCTGAGTTCTGAGCTCTTTCCTTCACAGCCCGCCTCCCTGTAACACTGTAGAACTTGCTCCGCTGGCTGATTGCGCTTTCAGCTTAACAATTTCATTCTTTTTAGTTGGAAAGTAGGATTAACACACTTTCCAGCCTCACTAGCTAGCTAATGAATTGTCTTTTTTTTTTTTTTAAACATACAAAGAAAACTTGGAAATAACTTCAAAATTACAGAAAAGTTGCAGGAATAAAATTCATGCAAAGAACACCTGCATATCCTCTACCCAGACTTACCTGTTGTTAGCATTTTAGCTCATCTGCCTTATCCACCATGTGTGCTCGTGCGTATGTATGTATGCACACACATAATTTATCTTCTGAACCATTTGAGAGTAAGTGGGCCTTTCCCCCTGAACACTTTGGCCACTGCAGAGAGCAGGAGGAAGCTCCTGGTACTTGGCGCCTCCGGGAGAGGAATGGTAATGCCTCCCCACAGCCCTGTAACAAACCCTCACCACAACCTGCTGTGTACCGGGCACCGTCACCACGGGAAAGTATTGAGGGCACAGAAAGCACTGTGGTTAAAGCTCTCGTTGGCCCAGGTGGCAGCGAGTCAGGCTATTGTTTCAGTTGGCCCTTCAGGTCTTAGGAATGGAAAACGCGCTGCTGTTGCACGCTTCGCCAGACAGGTCTGCACCTTCTTGCTGCTGTGAGGCTG